GAGATTGCAACAACTACAGACGTATCTCACTGCTAAGCATCACTGGAAAAGCTTTCGCTAGGATCACCCTGAAGCGACTTCAGAAACTAGCAGAAAGAGTCCTACCAGAGAGCCAATGCGGTTTCAGATTAAACCGTTCAACAATGGACATGATCTTTTCTATTCGTCAGCAACAAGAAAAATGCAGGGAACAACAACTGCAATTACATACTGCGTTCGTCGATCTGACAAAGGCTTTTGATACAGTCAGTAGATCAGCACTGTACATGGTGCTTGGAAAAATTGGCCGTCACCCAATACTGCTACAGCTCACCATCTCATTCCACGAAGATATGAAGGCCACCATTCAGTTTGACGGTTCAACATCAAACAGTTTCAACATCAATAGCGGAGTAAAGCAAGGTTGTGTCTTAGCACCAACCCTTTTTAGCACTTATGTTGCTGTCTTACTACAACACGCATTTAAAGAGTCACCAGGGGATGTCTTCCTCCACTGAAGAACTGATGGGTCGCTCTTCATTCTTGTTCGACTCAAGGCCAAGACCCAGATCAACAAAACAGCAGTACGAGACCTTCTCTTCGCCGATGATGCTGCTCTTGTTGCTCACAGTGAATCAACCCTACAAACAATGATGGACCGCCTATCAACAGCATGCAAGGTCTTTAGTTTTGTCATCAGTGTTAAGAAAACAGTTATCCTTACTCAAGAAGGTGCAGAGCAGAGCCACATATGGCTGAACGACAAGGAACTTGAGACAGAGGACAAGTTCTGTTACCTGGTGTCTACCATCAGCTCTACTACATCACTTGATTATGAGATCAACACCAGGATAGGGAAAGCAGCAACAGTTTTTGAAAGGCTGACAAAACGAGCATGGGAAAACAAAAGATTAACCATCAAAACAAAGATCAAGATTTACTAAGCATGTGTCCTCAGCACACTCCTTTATGGATCTGAAACATGGACCTTGTACAGCAGACAAGAAAAGCGCCTCGACATTTTCCATCTCAGATGCTGCCGCAAGATCTTAGGCATTTCTTTTGCGCGACAAGATTACAAATGTTGAAGTGTTGGCACGGGCAAACCTCCAGAGCATGACAACTATCCTGTACTTTAAAAAGATTGAGATGGCTGGGCCATGTCAAGAGAAGAGACGACAACCAGATTCCAAAGCAACTTCTCTATGGAGAACTTGCCCGGGGAAAGAGACCAAGAGGAAGACCAAAATTGAGGTACAAAGACACCTGCAAAAACAACTTATCTCAGCTTGGAGTAGATGTTAACATCTGGGAAAAAAATAGCAGAGGACCGGAAAACATGGATGAAAATTATAAAGGAAAGAACTAAAATGTTAGAGAACAGCCTTAGAAACAACCAGGCTGAGAAGCGCCAACGACAAAAGGAAAACAGCGGAAATACAGAGCTTCGATCTACGACACATACACGCAAGCACTGCAACAGAATCTGCGCTTCAAACATAGGAAGAATTAGTCATGAAAGAAGCTGCACGAAGACAACCTTGACACCATCTTAAGCTGAATTGACCGTTTGCATAGACGAAAAAAGCCATATATATATATATATACCCAACGGCAATAGAAACGTTCCCTTTTGTTGTTGTTTTTTTGTAACTGCGCCCTTGTTCACATGAGTTAGTGAACGAAATTTCGCACATGACTCACAATGTACCCAACACTGACTCCGCGCTGATCTTTGTCTTGAACAAAAATTTAACCACGTGGTCACGTGAGCCTCGTGCAAATTAACACATTTTGTGACTAAAGTTCCACCGAAACTATGACACTTCTAAACTGTGTTTAGATAAACGCATCAGCAACTTTAGAACCGAAAAAAAAACACAAGTTACATTGGCATTCCAGCTGGTTTTTGTCGTCTTAAATTGCTGTACAAGATGCCAAGGTTAAGCCCCGAGGAGCGCTGTTGGGCAATTTGAATACTGCAAGCTGTACTATCGGCCCGTAGAGTGGCACGGATGCTTCATTGTTCCCATCCTACCTTCAATATCCTGAAAGGTTGGTTCCAAGTTATCGGGGGTACACCTGACAGACCCAGACCAGGCAGACAGCAGGTCGATACTGCCCAAAAAGACAGACAGATAATGCTCTGGTATCTTTGAAATCCCTTTCTCAGCTCTTCACGTCAGTTTCACACAGACACTGAAAGAGTTTTCAGCTATAGAAGGATAAAACTACGGCCTTAAAGCACATTCGGACATCGAGCAAGGCGGTCTTATAATTAAAAATGTTTGCAGTATTTCCAATAATTACGCTTCAACTGACTCCCGAAACGACATTAACATTGTACAACGACTGAGACAAGCTTTGATTCAAGAGTGGAGACGTGGATCGCCTCAACAATTAATTAAAATAAGAAACAAAAAAACCGACTCGATCAATGCGCAGAACGTGCCAAGCTTGCATCATTGCAAGGGGCTACCATGCACGCTACTGGCGTGACAGTTTGAAATCAAAGGGTACCGGTTTGTGCTTAACACTGTGCCACTACATGAGACATCAGCAAGAAACATTAACACTGTGCCACTACATGAGACATCAGCAAGAAACATTAACACTGTGCCACTACATGAGACATCAGCAAGAAACATTAACACT